TTAATTATAAAAGTAATGCACTAAAATATGCTAAACAAGGGGAGTGGCTACACACATAAGTTGAATGAATGCATGAGTGCTCTGCATGGGTGAAGTGGATAGATCACTCTGTTTTCAGACACGCCAAATGTTATGGCCCGCAAAAAAAGACAAGGTCTCATTGGGGGAGGCCTTCTCTACTACCTCCAGGTCCCACAAGTTGTCCTTGTGGTGCTGTTTTAAGGACTCAGCTAGAGCTTGGGACACATCCAAGACTGCACCCAGAGGAATTGCCTTCAAGTCCAGCGGCATCAGAGACCTCATCTGACTAGCCTGATATTAGGACTGTCCTAATGCATTTACCTTCCAACATGGACATTCATGCTGGGCAAACTGGAGTGCAATTTTGACACAAAGGTCCAATCTCTAAGCGATGACATCTTCCATCTTCCAGAGCATGAGTACAGGATCTAGAGGAGGACAAGGAAATATCTGCCACTCGCTTTATGGAGCTGCAGGGTAGTGTAAATGGGCACTCAGCACTACTGTTAGCCATGCAGAATATGCATAGAAATATAGTTTCATTTATTATTAATTTTTTTTTTTTTAATTAAAACAAAAACTGGTGGTGCATTGCCCTGCTTTTCCCTATGGATATCCTACACTGTTAAGGAGGTAATTGAAGACTTTATTTTTTTCATGGTATGACAAATCATGGTCTCTACTAAGGTAAAGTGAGAATGGAGGGTCAAAAGGGAAGAAGATGCTAAAGGTTACTGAAAGGTCTTAGTCATGGGAGAAGGATGGAATTCTGGAAAACTGACTCATAAAACAGCAGAAATGAGGTAGTGTTTATTGTTAGAGCATATCGTTTGAAGACTTCTCTGTCTGTTAACAGCAAACTCATGAGCAATAAACTGGCACTACAAACTGGACACCCTTGGTAAGGACCATTTCTTTGAGATTTTTTGTTTCCTTTAAAAACACACGCTCTCTGGAGACGCCTTACAGTTGGATCATATAAATTCTTTGTATTTAACAAAGCTCCATATTTTATATGCTGAAGAAAAATCAAAGGGCCTTTTTACCCATGAATAATACTAAAAACTCATCCAAAAAGGAAAATCAAAAAATAGAATTCCACGTGGGATAAAACTATGAATGATTTTATATCAAACTATCTAGAACACACTACATTCTTGTGTAGTCCAGGGAATACACGTATCATTTGTATGCTTGGAATATATTATTTTTCTTGCAACTTTCTGGAAAAAACGTCTTCAATTTGTTCATAGTTTAAGTCGAATGTTTCCAAACAACTTGTACTAATGCACAATTAAGATTCATACAAACAACAATGTTCTTAAGTATAATGTTGAATAATGTGGGGTTAGCTCAGGCTAAATTATATTTGTGAAGCCAGAATATGTTCTAAAATAGCACACATTTACTGGATTCATTTTCCACAAAGTTAGCAAGTGCTCAGATGCTATTATCCTGGGAAATAAAACTCAAAACATTGAATATAAATATTAATATGCTATGTTAATTTTGCTCATACACATCAGGACAAACAGTGTCCTTATACAAAGCTTTTCCCACTTACTACAAATTAGAATTGTGTCCTACAAAGTTCAACTGTGCACGCATCTACAGACGCCATAATAATATATAAGCAAACTACTCTTAATAACACCATATTCTATTCATGTAAAAAAGTATTAGCAACATCATAAACTCTACGGGCACAAGAACCTAGAGCAATTGAATATGTTGGCACTTTATAAATGTCAATAATAATAGTAATAACAATCATTGTGTTACTGTGTAACAGGATGAAACTATCCTATCTTGTCTTGCATTATTTCAAACAAATGCCATATTAAAGGACAACTATAGAGTTGGTTTTCTAGTCACCGTTTAGGAGACTGTTCCGGTGTTGCCAGGGATAAAAAAGATAGTTAACCCACCTTTTCCCCCTTCCAGCACCAGTATCTCTACTCAAGATCTTCATCTTTGTCTGAGAACACCACAGGAAAGCATTGGGAAGCTAGTGTGCGTGCCAATCAGATGCTCCAGCACAATATCTTCATTGTTAAAGGTGGGGGCACATGGCACCCAGGCCACTTTCTTGAGATGAAGTGGTTTAGGTGCCTATAGTGTTGATCTAAGTAATGTTAAACTGGAAAAGAAAACAAAATATAACTATCTAGAGTCAATAAATATATTGTATGTGATAGGAGCCTAATTTTATAATTGATTATATTGCGATAGTACCATCATATATGGGAAGAGGGGAAGAAAGAAAACTTGCATTTACTCTCCCCATTTTTGTTATAGGTCAAATCCTCCTTAATTGTAGGGTGTCTAGATTTCTGTTACATTAAAATGTAATGAAGTGAGGTCCAGTAAAAAGCTATATCCCACGAATGTGACAGTGTCATAATTCCGATCAGACATCTTGCTACATAAATGTCAAGTGCACATTTTAGATTTCTCAATTCTACAAACAAGGAGAAAAAGGGTTGTGATGTGCACTGAACAAGCCGTAAAACTGAGCATGTCCCAAAACTCTCTCTTTTCAGAAATTGTATTTAAAAACCACATTACTTATATAATGTTTAGCACAGCAATAAGGAAGCACTTATGGAGTTCCATATCTCAGTGGTACATCTCACTAAGTACCATTGAAGTACGAAACATACAAAGTGATTCTTTGTTGCTGTGCTGCACACAATATACATTTATACAATGTGAATTTTAAATAAAATCAGAAAAAGAGGCTCTGTGTTGTGCTCAGTTTTTAGCTCACTCTTATCTTGCTTAAAATAACTTTTTTTCCAAGCTTTAGAGCAGCTCTCTCATATAAAAAAACAAAAAACGATATCTAACTCGGCTTCTCTATAGTTTCCCGTTTCTGAATCTCTTTTTATAAACCATCAACAAGATCAATCCCACCGAAGGCCAAACAGCAGGTATCGTGGCAGAGGAGAACAAAATGGCTGCCCCCTTATAGTGAGACTTGGCACAAACAATAAATGATAATAAATATAAAGGCAAGTGGAAAGGAGAGAAATATAATCATTAAAAAAGAAGGGTCATGTGGAAAGGAAAACAATACAGTCATTTGAACTATAATAGTCAGTAAGTAGTGATGTCCCGAACGGTTCGCCGAACGGTTCGAGAACGGTTCGCCACAAACGGTTCGCCACGGACTCATCATTGAGTAAACTTTGACCCTGTACCTCACAGTCAGCAGACACATTCCATCCAATCAGCAGCAGACCCTCCCTCCCAGACCCTCCCACCTCCTGGACAGCATCCATTGTGAAGCTGCATTCTTAGTGAGCTGTCCAGGAGGTGGGAAGGTCTGGGAGGGAGGGTTTTCAATGATGAGTCCGCGGCGAACCGTTCGTGAACCGTTTGGCGAACAATTCGGGACATCACTATCAGTAAGTCAACTTAAAACCTCATGAACTGTTTCACAAAAATGGCCAAGCCTGTCCCTAAAATTGTCTTACTTTAGAAATCTGAGGACACTTAGTTTATAATTTGACAGTGAGTGTATATACTTCTCACAACGGTTCATCTTATCTGAATGTAAATTCATTGAAAATACAAATTCAGGCACAAAATTCAAGATATTTTATGTAAATTCACGAACAGAAACATACCTAGATTCTATCAAATAACTTTTGTATGTGTTCTGTGTATATCATTCTGTGAATATAAATATACGTATAAGCTAATCTTGAAATGAAGATTTGCTGTCTCTTTAAATAAGTATTTCATTCATATTAGGATTCAGTGTGATATGACAGAGTTTAGGAAAATATGGGATATTCCTTTGCTGAATATGTGCTTTTATTCTTTCTTTTCTTTATTTTTAAGGTCATTTTCTTGACCAGTAATTGCATGGAACCAAATTGTACATTGAAATATTAAACAATCAAAATCATTTGATTCGCACTGCAACTGGAGATAGGCATTTAAATCCATATCCCTTTTGTGTGAAAATGGGGACATCCGCTATAATTATACGCTTCATGTTTAGAAAACTTTTAAGCTTACAAAATCATTTGTGATGTTAACTGTCTTTTCTGTAAAATTGCTGGTGATATATAATCTCAGCTGCTTTGTTTTTCACACATTTCTGTTTGAAATGGAGTGTATAGAACAATTCTTTTCTCGTAAAACATTTCTTTTTTTTCAAGAACTTTTCCCAGATTTGTTAAGCATTCTGAATGACACAGTGCACGATACAGAGCAGAATTTAGAAGACAATCTTGCTCTCTTGTTCAGTATAAGTTTACATACTCAGTTCATTAAGAAGCACTAATGCACCAAGACAGCGTCATCTCAATGAGGTGGTCTGGGTCTAGTGGCCCCTAAGTTTTGATCCTGCAATGTAAAACATTACTGTTTAGTAGATACAACGCTATGATTCTAGTGTTACAAACTTCTACTGGCTGTCTTCCTCTAAGACTCGGTTCTCAGTCAAATGTTGCTCCACAAGAGCATTTGATTGGAACTGTGCAGGGATTGGCCACACATACACACTAGCCCTCAATGTTCTCTGTAGGGAAGCATTGGATTGGCTAAGATCATCAATATTGACAAGAAGGGTACCATAGCATTAATACAGTTGCAAGAAACAGTATGTGAACCCTTTGGAATGATATGGATTTCTGCACAAATTGGTCATAAAATGTGATCTGATCATCATTTAAGTCACAACAATAGACAATCACAGTCTGCTTAAACTAATAACACACAAAGAATGAAATGTTGCCATGTTTTTATTGAACACACCATGTAAACATTCATAGTGCAGGTGAAAAAAAGTATGTGAACCCTTGGATTTAATAACTGGTTTAACCTCCTTTGGCAGCAATAACTTCAACCAAACGTTTCCTGTAGTTGCAGATCAGACGTGCACAACGGTCAGGAGTAATTCTTGATCATTCCTCTTTACAGAACTGTTTCTGAGCTGCTCAATGAGTTTACATGTTAGAGGGAGTGGGGTATAGTGACAGTAACAGAGGGATTGAGGGCCCTGCTCAGTGAGTTTACATGTTAGAGGGAGTGGGGTATAGTGACACAGTAACAAAGGGATTGAGGGCCTGCTCAGTGAGTTTACATGCTAGAGGGAGTGGGGTATAGTGACAGTAACAGAGGGATTGAGGGCCTGCTCAGTGAGGTTACATGTTAGAGAGAGTGGGGTATAGTGACACAGAAACAGAGGGATTGAGGGCCTGCTCAGTGAGTTTACATGTTAGAGGGAGTGGGGTATAGTGACACAGTAGCAGAGGGATTGAGGCCCTGCTCAGTGAGTTTACATGTTAGAGGGAGTGGGGTATAGTGACACAGTAACAGAGGGATTGAGGGCCTGCTCAGTGAGTTTACATGTTAGAGGGAGTGGGGTATAGTGACACAGTAACAGAGAGATTGAGGGCCTGCTCAGTGAGTTTACATGTTAGAGGGAGTGGGGTATAGTGACACAGTAACAGAGGGATTGAGGGCCCTGCTCAGTGAGTTTACATGTTAGAGGGAGTAGGGTATAGTGACAGTAACAGAGGGATTGAGGGCCCTGCTCAGTGAGTTTACATGTTAGAGGGAGTGGGGTATAATGACACAGTAACAGAGGGATTGAGAGCCCTGCTCAGTGAGTTTACATGTTAGAGGGAGTGGGGTATAGTGACACAGTAACAGATGGATTGAGGGCCCTGCTCAGTGAGTTTACATGTTAGAGGGAGTGGGGTATAGTGACACAGTAACAGAGGGATTGAGGGCCTGCTCAGTGAGTTTACATGTTAGAGGGAGTGGGGTATAGTGACACAGTAACAGAGGGATTGAGGACCTGCTCAGTGAGTTTACATGTTAGAGGGAGTGGGGTATAGTGACACAGTAACAGAGGGGCTGAGGGCCCTGCTCAGTGAGTTTACATGTTAGAGGGAGTGGGGTATAGTGACACAGTAACAGAGGGATTGAGGGCCCTGCTCAGTGAGTTTACATGTTAGAGGGAGTGGGGCATAGTGACACAGTAACAGAGGGATTGAGGGCCTGCTCAGTGAGTTTACATGTTAGAGGGAGTGGGGTGTAGTGACACAGTAACAGAGGGATTGAGGGCCTGCTCAGTGAGTTTACATGTTAGAGGGAGTGGGGTATAGTGACACAGTAACAGAGGGATTGAGGGCCTGCTCAGTGAGTTTACATGTTAGAGGGAGTGGGGTATAGTGACACAGTAACAGAGGGATTGAGGGCCTGCCCAGTGAGTTTACATGTTAGAGGGAGTGGGGTATAGTGACACAGTAACAGAGGGATTGAGGGCTTTGCTCAGTGAGTTTACATGCTAGAGGGAGTGGGGTATAGTGACACAGTAACAGAGGGATTGAGGGCTTTGCTCAGTGGGTTTACATGCTAGAGGGGTTGGGGTATAGTGACACAGTAACAGAGGGATTGAGGGCCTGCTCAGTGAGTTTACATGTTAGAGGGAGTGGGGTATAGTGACACAGTAACAGAGGGATTGAGGGCCTGCTCAGTGAGTTTACATGTTAGAGGGAGTGGGGTATAGTGACAGGAACAGAGGGATTGAGGGCCTGCTCAGTGAGTTTACATGTTAGAGGGAGTGGGGTATAGTGACAGTAACAGAGGGATTGAGGGCCTGCTCAGTGAGTTTACATGTTAGAGGGAGTGGGGTATAGTGACACAGTAACAGAGGGATTGAGGGGCCTGCTCAGTGAGTTTACATGTTAGAGGGAGTGGGGTATAGTGACACAGTAACAGAGGGATTGAGGGCCCTGCTCAGTGAGTTTACATGTTAGAGGGAGTGGGGTATAGTGACACAGTAACAGAGGGATTAAGGGCCTGCTCAGTGAGTTTATATGCTAGAGGGAGTGGGGTATAGTGACACAGTAACAGAGGGATTGAGGGCTTGCTCAGTGAGTTTACATGTTAGAGGGAGTGGGGTATAGTGACACAGTAACAGAGGGATTGAGGGCCTGCTCAGTGAGTTTACATGTTAGAGGGAGTGGGGTATAGTGACACAGTAACAGAGGGATTGAGGCCTGCTCAGTGAGTTTACATGTTAGAGGGAGTGGGGTATAGTGACACAGTAACAGAGGGATTGAGGGCCCTGCTCAGTGAGTTTACATGTTAGAGGGAGTGGGGTATAGTGACACAGTAACAGAGGGGTTGAGGGCCTGCTCAGTGAGTTTACATGTTAGAGGGAGTGGGGTATAGTGACACAGTAACAGAGGTATTGAGGGCCCTGCTCAGTGAGTTTACATGTTAGAGGGAGTGGGGTATAGTGACACAGTAACAGAGGGATTGAGGGCCTGCTCAGTGAGTTTACATGTTAGAGGGAGTGGGGTATAGTGACACAGTAACAGAGGGATCGAGGGCCCTGCTCAGTGAGGTTACATGTTAGAGGGAGTGGGGTATAGTGACACAGTAACAGAGGGATCGAGGGCCCTGCTCAGTGGGTTTACATGTTAGAGGGAGTGGGGTATAGTGACAAAGTAACAGAGGGATTGAGGCCCTGCTCAGTGAGTTTACATGTTAGAGGGAATGGGGTATAGTGACACAGTAACAGAGGGATTGAGGGCCCTGCTCAGTGAGTTTACATGTTAGAGGGAGTGGGGTATAGTGACACAGTAACAGAGGCATTGAGTGCCTGCTCAGTGAGTTTACATGTTAGAGGGAGTGGGGTATAGTGATTATGTCACGATTCGGGGAACCCAACACGCTGGCACACACACACACACACAAAAGGTGCCGTACCGGACCTTAGAGTGGCCGGGCTTAGCACACACAGAATAGTCAGGAGACAAGCGGAGTAAAGGGGAACCAGAAGACAGAATAACGTGAAACGAGCCGAGGTCAAAGGGTAGGAGAAAGTCACAGAGTCAGATAAACAAGCCAGAGAGTACGTAACCAGAAGCACAAGGTAAGTAGCAATACTAGCAAGCAAAGACCACAACAGGGCAGGGAGGAACAGGAAAGGTAAGTATTTAAACCATCAGGTTAATTCTGATTGGATAATTTCCAATCAGAATTAACAATCACACGTGGGAGATATTTAGACCTCCCACTGTGATTGAGGCACTGTGCCTTTAACGCCGGGTCAGGTGACTGACCCCGGCGTGTATAAACCTGGGCGGTCTCCCAGCGTGCAGCGTCATGCATGCTGCCGCTGGGGGACGTGGAGGGAACGGCGGGCGGCATCCGAGGCTGGAAGGATGCCGCTCGCCGTACCCACGAGGCGGAGGGGACCGCGGACGGCTGGAGGGTGAGTACTGCGAGCGGAGTGCAGCCTCCCCTCGCAGCCGCCCGCGGGAGCCTGACAGATTAAGTAAGAGAGGGTTTGAGGGCCTGCTCAGTAAGCTTGCATGCTAGAGGGAGTGGGGTAAAGTGACACAAAAGGTAAGCATAGTATTAGGGAAGTAGATTGGTAGACTAGTATTCAATGAAGACTTAATGTGGGGTTTTGGAGCCATTAACTGTTTAATTGATACGCTTTTGTGAAAAAGTGAGTTGTTAATGATTTTTTGAATGAGTGCAGACTGGGTGAGTGTCTGATGTAAAAGGGAAGGGAGTTCACAGGAACGGTGCAGCCCTAGAGAAATCTTGAAGGCGCGCATCAGAGGTGGGAGTAAGAACAGTGGATAGACGTAAGTCTTCAGCAGACGGTAGTTGCCTCGATGGGACATATTTATGTATTATGTAGGATGAATAGGTTGGAGTAGCATTATGTAAAGATTTGAAATCAAGAACCAGAAATTTGTATTGATCCCTATATCAAACTGGAAGCCAATGCAGGGACTGACAGAAGGGTGAGGCTTGGGCGGTGCCAGCAGACAGGAAGATGAGCCTCACCACCGCATTCATTATAGACTGCAATGGGGCACGTTTGGTCCATGTAAGACCACTGAGAAGTGGATTACAGTAGTCAAGGCAAGAAAGGACAGTGGAATGGACCAGCACCCTAGCCGCATCTGGTGTTAAGTAGGGGCAGATGGGCGCAATGTTTTTTACATGAAAATGGCAGGATTTGGTGATCGACTGGACATGAGCGGTGAAGGAGAGGTTGGAGTCAAAGAGAACACCAAGCCTGCATGGTTGGGCTGATGGTAGCACCATCAACTTGGAGGGAGACAGAGATGGGAGTAGCAAAACTTAAGGGAGGAAAGACCAGAACTTCTTTTTGACCAAGTTAAGTTTAAGGAAGTGGGCAGCCATCCAGTCAGAAATAGCCGAGAGGCAGTCAGAGACACTAGTCAAGAGGAGCGGGAGAGATCAAGGGAGGACAGATGAGTTTACCAAGTGAGGCAGTATAGATCGATAACGGTAGGGGACCAAGGACTAAGCTTTGGGGGACACCAACAGAGAGAGGTTGGGAGGAAGAGGCGGAGCCAGAGAAAGAAACATTAAAGAGCGCTGGGTGATGTAAGAGGAGCACCAGGAGAGAGCAATATCTCGTAGACCGAGATTACTGAGGATGAGTATCAAAAGCAGCAGAAAGGTCAAGGTGAATCAGGACAGATTAGTGACCATGAGATTTTGCAGTGAGTAGATTATTTGATACTTTGGTCAGAGCCGTTTCCACAAAGTGCTGAGCACGGAAACCAGACTGAAGTGGGTCGAGCAGAGAATTGGACTTGAGGAAGTCTGTCAATCTCACATACACAAGTCTTTCAAGGATCTTGGACGTAAAAGGCAGTAGCGAGATAGGGCGGTAGTTGGACAGGGAGTTAGGGTCAAGATTGGGCTTTTTTAGAATCAGGGTTACAGTCGCATGTTTGAAGGGTAATGGGAATATCCCAGATGAGAGGGAGAGATTGAGAATTTTAGTGAGCGGCAAAGCAAGAGAATTAGACAGAGTATGGATAAAATATGAGAGAATAGGATCAAGGGAGCACGCGGTGGGGTGGGAGGACCGGAATAGATCAGAATCCTCTTCTGCTCTAGCGGGTGTGAATGAACATAAAATAGCGGAGGAAGTGAGGTTGGGGGAAGTATTGTAAGGAGAAGGAGAGAGATGAGAGATCTTTCCCCTGATTGTAGATATTTTATCAATGACGTGAGTTGCAAAGTTGTGGTGGTTTAGTTGATAGGAGGAGGAGGAGCAACAGGGCGAAGAAGAGAGTTAAAAGTGTAAAATAGTTGTTTCGGTTCATGGGAGAGTGTGATTATGAGGGTATTGAAGTAAAATTTACTTTTGCAGAGGAAAGAGCCAAGCTGTAAGCGCGCAGGATAAATTTATAGTGGAGGAAGTCAGATACGGAGTGAGACTTTCCCCAGCAGCTTTCAGCAGTTCTGGTACATTTTTGGAGGTATCAAGGCAGCTTGGTGTGCTAAGGTTGTAGTTGGGGGCGCTTGCTGCATTTAAGTGTAGTTTAAGTGTAGGAGGTGCCATGATGTCTAGTTGAGAGGAGAGGATAGAATTGTAGAAGGAGATTGCCGAGCTAGGGCAGATGAGGTTTGAGATAGGTAAAAGGAGAGTTTGGAGGTTAGTGGAGAAATGTTCTAGGTCAAGACATTGGAGTTTTCTGTAATATTGTTGTGCCGAAATTAATGATAACAGTAATAAAATAATGCACTTGGTTTAAACTGTCTTCAGAATTTATACAGAGAA